TATCTTAACTTTTATTTCTAACTGTGATTGCTTTCAGGTGAAAATAGAATTGAAACTTTTGAGTACTGATGGCATCAAAAAGGTGGTGGTTGAGGTTGAGGGGGAGATTCTAGGCCATTTTCCTCTAGTACGCAAGTGGTCCTTTTAAAGTACCAACCTTAAACCTCCAAATATTGCTGGATCTAAGAAATGTTTTCCAAGATCGAATGTACCTCTTGATCAGGGTAAGTGAAAAAAAAAATTCAACAGGGAAAGGGAACCATGGAAGAGCGTATATTATGCTTACTGTGGCTCATCTCCTGCACCATTCTAATAGCTTAGCCTCTAAAGTTTTCAGAATCAAGAAAGTGCTTAGGGATGCCAGTTTCTAAAGGGGGGAAAGATTTGGATGACTAGCCAACCCCAATGCAGATGCTTCTGGTCCCCTTAACATAGCTCTCTTGGAAGCCTGGACAGGGGAGTTCCTAATTCCTCCTGGGTGCCACCCAAGCGGCTTGCTCAGTGGAGATGGAAACGTGGTTGGCTGTAGCAGAATGAATGAATAGAAAGTCTGCTGCATCTCCACTCCACGCTGGCTGGCTTCAGACAGATGCCTTGAGTTTTGGATGAAGCTGAATTAGCTGGGACTTTCCTTGTAGAGGATGGGTCTCTTCTCAAAGGGGGATACACTGGGTGGGGGCAAGGAGGGCTTTACTGGTTAAAGGGCTCCTTTGGCGGAATAAATCAGTTTTGTAATTCAGATCACTGCTGAGAGAGTCCCAGCATCTCCAATTCCAAATGATGAAACTAGAATATAAAAGACCAGATATTGGAATAGAGTTGAGTGATATGGACATGAGTGTTGGAGCCACACAGAGATGAACTTGGCCAGATCCCTAGTTTTACAACTTTAAGCTCCAAGACTTTTGAACAACTCACTTAAACTATATGGTTTCCATTTCCTTAGTTCTAAAATGGGAAAAATATTAATAATTTTGGAGTCAATTCTGCTCAACAACCCAATAGGGTAGGTAACATGATCATCATGACACTCACAGAATTGCCTTAAGTATTATATAAGATCATTTATGTAAAAATTTCTGGTACAGTGTCTGGCACATCGTTTGTACTCAAAAACTATTGTTGTCCACCACCCCACTGTCTCTTACTTAACCCAAAATTGTTCTGCTTCTTGATGGAGATATCTCAGGCAAAAAGGAGTCTCTTTCCTGGGCTTCATTCCTGATAGACTCCCTTTGGTTGATTTCCTGGGAGCTGGGTTTTTTTCTCCTCCAAACCCAATACTTTACCTACTGGCATTTTTCTTGGTGCTTGGAAAGGAAACGAGACACAGGTGGAACATTTCTGGGCTTCACTGACCCTGAAAGAGAGGAGACTCAGTCCTTTTCAAGGGCTTAGTGACAGCAGCCTGCCCCCACAAGGCCCTCTGGGGGAGCATTAGGGGAAATGAGTCCTCTTCATGCTTGGGATGCCCAGGGATGGGTTGGCAGGGCAGAAGGCGATTTTCATCTTGGACAAGTTCCACGCCAGTCTATTAATTCCCTAGGTCCTTAGCTTAACTGCTCAGACAGGAATTGAGCACTACAGTCCTTAGCAAAGAATGGCAGGACGGCTCAGAAAGCCAAGGTCACCAGCTCTAGTCCCAGCATGTACCAAATGGTACTGATGTGCAGGGAAAATGAAGATGTTTTATGGAGGACTTACTTTCTATAGATGTTTCTGCTGAGCTCCCCTGTACCCCTCCACCCCATCCCTAATATTACCAGGGATCTGGAATACTGAAGACAGGGATGAGACAGAGAGGCACCCTCTTTTGGAGGGGAAAGCAGAGGTGTGTCCACCAGGTTGCCAAGTTAGATTGGTATAATTTTGGCTGCTGCCCTCAAAGTTTTGATATGCAGAGTCTGAGCACATTTCTTCTATTTCCAACTCTACCTCATTTGTTAGAGTTAGATTTGGGATTTATTGAAAGCTGTAAGAGGACACCCGCAGCGATCTTAAGTGAACCTGTCTTGGTCTCAACATCAGACACAATAGCCCCAACCATCATAAGAAAGCATAGAAATAAAGAGCAGGTCATGTTATTCTAAATAGTCTCTTCTCTATATAATTATGTAGTCTGTATAGAAACTATGTGGTTTCTGTGCATGTATAGAAATTCTGTGAATGTACATGAATACCAAGTTTCAGATCTCTAAAAACATACCTACTCTGTCCCTTTAAAAATATGCTTAGCTTGACATTTTCACTAATCCAGGCAGATTTCATTGAAACGCTGCTGACACATGATGAGGAAGCTCTCCTGTCAGTCAGGCTACATCTGATGATCCTATGTGATAAGCCAGCTTCAATGTAAGAACCACGACTGCCTACCTCTCATTGATACTTCCTCTGAGTGCACACCTTCTGGCTGCAGCAATATACTCATGCACACATACATGAATTCATGGAGCTAAAAATAAACCCTTCTGATAGGCTGTTCAGAGGGTCTCCTCGGAGCTGAGCAGCCCTTCTGTCTCCCTTTATAGGCAAGGCTTACTCCAGACAAGACCTGAGGGCACAAACACGGGTATAAGGCTTACCCCAAATCTCCAAGGCAAGTTACAGAGGCCAGGAGGGCCTCAAGAGGTTGAGATGCGATGGTATTAAAGATCACACTGATTAAAAATCAGACCCGTGATCACTCTCTCCTAGGCCTTATGTCCCAAATCCTAGTGGTAACCTCTGGAAAATTGCATATTGGCATCAAAGAAAACCATTTCAGGGAAAGCTGATAATTGCAGTTAATAAAGGAGATCAAACACACATCAAACCATAACTGTGAATAGCTCTGCTTTCTGGTTTTCTTCCCTCTCAGGACAAAGCCTTTGTGAAATGGATCTGGGATGCCATATAGATCTGGGGAAAGTGATCTGTGTGTGACTTTGTTCAGATCTTTCAGTTTGCAAGATTTCTTCCCATCTCCCTCACCCCACCAATCAATGAACTCTTTGCCAGGCTGAGATGTCGCCTATCTTCTGCTGGAAACCTGAGATTCAGATACAACATACATTGAGACACACACAGGTACACACACAGATTTTTGTCACCCTCATGAAATAAGCACCATTTCAAATCGGTTTAAAAATGCACTTATCCATTGAGCTCATTTCAGGGCATTGTTTTATGGAGGAAAAAGATCCCCTGGTATTTGAGAGAGGGAAAGGGTAAACCATCACCTAGTCCTAAAAAAGTCCTGGTAATGTCGCTAGAGACTAAGCATTTTCAGTCTTTGTTGAAATTTCTCTCCCTACCACTCAACAAAAGTTGTTAATTCGCTAATACCCTGCCATCTGGATTTTAGAGGTGGGTTTCCCTTTCTGGTGGTGAGAATAAGGAAAAGCTGCACAGCAAGCCCTGTCACTTGGCGTTTGGTCCCCCCCTGCCCCTCCCTCCGGCCCCTCCTTGGAGCCCAGTGAATTTGTGAATCAGCTTCCCCCTCCCCCCACACAGGGGAGCCCCTAAACGCTGCTGGTCATTTACAAAGGACTGTGTGTACGTGCATGTTTAACTGCAGACTTATTTGTTCCTTCTCTGGGAGTCTGTCTGTCTGTCTGTAACTTGGATTACTGCTCTCTGGGAAGCTGTAGCTGGTTGATTCCGTGGGAGACCAAGCAGGATGCGTGGGCGCAGGAAACAGAAAAGAGAAAAGAAGGAGGGGGAGAAAAGGGGAGCGGGGAGACTGCGCGAGCCGTAGAATCTGTTACTTGCGTCACTCTAGGAGCCGGGGCTATCTGCCCGACAAACAGAATTAATCCGAGTTACAGCCATAGCTGTCTCTGCTTCAATGGCCAGTTGCGAAAGGGCGGAAGAAGGGCGCTCGCCTGAATCTGAGCGGAGTCGAGTTTACACAGCGCGGCTGAGGGCGTTTGGGGAGGGGGCTGTCCTTCTCTGCACGCCCTCAGAGCCCCGTACGCCGGGTGCAGACGAGGCTGCAGCCTTCTCTGCAGCTGCCCAGCCCAAGCTTGGGGTGGCGCCCGCCTCGCCCGCCTCGCCTGCTCACTGGCTGCGCGGAACACAAAGCGCTGTCTCCGAGCAGAAGCCTCTTCTCCGCTGAACCAGACCCACCAGAGGAGACTCTGCACGTGACGTCAGTAGCTGATGACTGACGCAGGCTGGCAAAGGAGACTCAAGGCGGCAGCTCCGCGCTGCCTTCTTGAGTCTATTTTCTCCAACCCCCTCGTAGTGAATTACTAGAACGCAAAACACACACACATATGCAGCTTTCAAAATATACATTTCCAAAGGCGGTGTGTTGCAAACACACAGCGCGATTTTGCAAAGCATGGGTGGGAATGTGGGAAGGGTACAGATTTTTTTTTCCTTCCCTCATTTGGGAATCTCCATCGTGGATAGCATTGGACTCTAGAGCTTTCTTGGGAAGCTCCTCTGGGGAAGGGGTGTAAACACCTCCTCCCCTTTCCCCCCAGCATGTAAGGAATCTAGCCAGTGGAAACATGCAGCCGTAAAAGAATACAATTCTAAAGCCTTTTGCTCGGGGAGACTGCAAGGAGCTTGCAACAGGCAGAGAGAGACAGGAGTTAATGGGAGGGAGAGAAAATATAAGAAGTATTTGGGTATTTTTCTGCTTTGAAAAACATCTGCTTTAATGCAAGTGAGTCTGGTGGCGGAGAAGAAAGTGGGGAGGGGGCACTTAATACACATTTGATGGTTTTGGACTTAACGTTCCAGAGAAATGCCTTTGTGTGTGGAGGTTTTTTCAGTACTCGCTAAAAATAGCATCACGGTTTGATCGTGTTCCAGAAATAGACCGAGGGCTGTACTGGGATAAAAAGCCAGCGCGGCTGGAAGAAAACCTGGACATCACCGCATCCCTCCCCCCGCCCCCACCCACTATGTCTGGAAATTAATTGTTGGATTTTTCCTCTCCTCTCTCCTGTCTCCCTCTCTCTTTCCACTTTCTCTTCCCTCCCCCTATATTTCTCTTTCTCTCTCTTAAGGAGTTCCCAGTTTAGGTAAGTAATATGTCATGTGCATGCCGCAGACTGTATGAGCAGAGGCTTACTTTGTGCATGCTCCGGGATTCTTTTTTGGCTGCCTTTTTACCTCCTTCTAAAGAGAGGGTGGGACTGAGTAGAGGTCGAGGGGTATAGCTATGTGTGTGCATAATGAGTTTTGGGCTGCATGCAAAGGAACTGAAAAAGGGAAATTCTTGCAGAGCCGGGAATCACCCTGACGAATCTCTGAATCAATAGCTGCTGCAACTCTCTCTCTCTTTACGGGTCGGCGCTGTTGAGCCCAGTTCTCTTGACTGCCCCCCTCACCTCCCCATTTTCTCTGTCTTAAAGGGTTCCCAGACACGATTTAATGGGTCATCTCTCTGCTAGATTAATGGAGACGATGCCATATAGATTAAATTGCACGATTGGGACTCAGAGGTAAAGAGAGGGAAAAATCCCCATCCTTTTAACAAACTTCCCTGCTCGCTCTAGTCCGAGAACGGAAGGACTGCGACCCTGGTGTCGGCTGTCTCTGGGCGCTGTAGCTGTCCACTGAAGACAGGTGCTGAAAATTCCTTGGTCCACAGCGAGTTAAGCGCCAAGCGCCAGGGGGCGGGGTTAGCTCCAGCTGCGGATAGTCCCGCCCTAGATGCAGAAGAGGGATACGGAGAAGAGAGGGTTAAAGATGTTCAAAGAGGATAGTCGTGACTTCGGTGAGAGCTTTGGGGGAAAGGAGGGGTGAGTAGGAAGGAAAGGAAAAATTTTTAAAGGAGGGGGGAACAAAGTGTTAGATTCGAAGATGAGCCAAGGCCCAGCGCTCCAGGAACCGAAAACCGGCGGCTCATCGGCTTTCTCCGCAGAGGCCAGGCACTATATGGGTCTCCATTCCTAGGCGCCCGCACCTTCCCGCCAGTGGGTTTGAAAGATTTCTCTCCAGTGATGGGGACTCTCAAAATAAGAGGCTATAGGTTACTTATTCGGACCCTGTTCCTTCCCACTCCATATCCCCCATGCTCCAACATTCTATTCTGCAATTCCCGAGCGGTGTGTAGATGTGTCTGTGCATTCTGGAGTTTTTCTTACTATTCCCCCTTCCTTCGCGTTCTAGTTACAGAGGACCAAATGAGTTGGTGGATTGAATGAATTAGAAGCCAGAGCACTGGAGTTGCTAGTGCGATGCGCGAGAATCCAGGCTTGGGAACATCGCGCGGCACCTTAAAGCCAAAAGCCAAAAAGGGTTTCTGAAAACCGCCTCCGAGGGAAACTGGGGGAGAAGTTACCAAATGTTACTGGGGAGACCACCAACTCCCTGAGGTTATAGGCTTGACCCAGAGTGGGATTCACCGCAATCAGTTCCAGACACTTTGGCCAAACCTGCAACCAGACAGGTGAGGGAGGAGGAAGGTTATCAGAGGCCAGAGGGAAAGAATATCACGATCACGAGCACACAAAGATATTCATACTGATCACCTCCTCGGAGAGGAATAATAAAAATGCATTCTCAAATTGGCCCACTAAGGGTGGGCTGTAGACAGTGGGGGAAATGAAGCAGTCTTGCAGATCTGCAGTACGCTTATGTGCATGCAAGGGTATTTTCTATATAAATAAAAAAATTAACTAGGCATGGTGAGGTAAGTATCTGAGGGGTCAAGCCTTCAGGCGAGGGAAAAGGAGAGTCCAGGTACTCTCTGCTCCCTCTACCCCATCCTAATCCAGCAACAGCCTCTTGCTTTAGTGACCTGACCCCTACGCAGGGCACCCGAAGCGCAGCCCTTGGAGAAGCTGTAAGAGGGTGAGTCGAGTTATTTTTAGTTCAGAAACAGTCTCTCTCTGGGAAGATTCCCTGTCTGAGACTGAGTATTCTGCAACTCATAATAGTAACAAGAGCTGTTACTGATGTTGTAGAGAATAACACAAATAACCCTGCAACCCACACTTTGTCATGACAATTCAGCTTAAACCAAGACTGTTTGAAGCCTCGCGGCCCACCCCTCGGCCTACTAGTCATTTACTCGGACCTACTCGGTCCCTTTCCCAAGCCTCGCCCCTCTCAGCCCCGCAAGTTGCGTGGTTGTGTTTACAAATTCTGCCACATTTGCAAAGGCAATAGCTGGGGACGGGAAGGAGAGGCTGGGCAGGGAGGGGTGGTAGCACAATAAGGCAGTTGCAACACGTGGAACAGTTTGGGTGTGGGGGGGCAGGGAATCCAGGAGCCGTGAAGGGAGAGGGGAGGACGCCCCCTGTCCTCATTTCTCCCCGATCCCCTTCCCCATCGCTTGGCACAATGCACAAGTTTACCCCAGAACTGGATTCTATTAAATAATTCAATGGTAGCGGTGTAATTTTGTTGGAACCAGCACGGATTCCCAAGTCGTGACTGCAAAAAGTGAGTAATGCCCGCTGGCTGCGTCATGGCTCTAGTCACAGTTCATTCCGAGCTGAGAAGGAATCGTGACTTCGCCTGGAGACGTCCCCTGCAAGGGAGACTGGGGGGGGCATTAAGCTAAGGGGGACGGGGGTTGGGGGAAAGACCTATCCAATGAAAATCGCTGCTAGGGGGGCATTTGAACTCCGTCGCTCGCTCCCTCTCTCTCCCCTCTCGGCCCGGAGCACCTCTCTCCCCCCTCCCGACCGACGCGCTCTCTGGCGCGCTCGCTCGCTCTCCCGCTACCCCGCGATTCCTCAACAAGTTGGAGAAAGGCAGGAATGCAGGGGTTAAACTCGAAAAGCCGCAATTACCAAGATCGTGACCCTCCCACACAGTAAAGTAACTTATATACTTACCTGGAAAAGCCTGCTTTGCCTCTGGGCAAACACCCGTGGGGGGCGGGGAGGGGCGGAATGGGAGCTGGCCGGTTGAAGAGGGGCTCCTTCAAGCTGGCTGCAGTGCGGACCGGACCAGCGCGCTCCCGGGGCCTCCGGACCCAGGTAAGGAGAACGGGATTGGTGCACTCTTCCGCTGGTGGTCGGTACATTCACTGGTCGGCTGAGCAGAACTTTTTTTCCCAGTTGCCCTGAGCCGCAGCCGCGGGCACAGACTGTGGAGCCCCCTCTGGCACTGCCCGCGCGCGGTCGCTGAGAGCGTGTGTGCATGCGTCTGTCCGTCGCCGAGCCGAGGGTATGCCGTGGGAGGGTGGGTGGGTCGCAGAGCTGCAGGAGGGTGATGGATGGGCGGAGGGGGTGGGCCGACGGGGACTCGGAGACAGTGCCTACTACGTCTAAATAGATTTTCTCCGGGCAGGCTGAGCAAGAGGGTGTGTGAGGCGCCCGCGCCTTCCAGCACGTCGACTCGAGGGGTGGCAAAGAACAAATATGGCAACTTTCTTGCAATGTTTGCAGCATCCCGCCCTGGTTGGCTTCTTCCCGACTGGGGGGACTACATTCCGATTCTTGGACACTGACAGAGTGGGGGAGGGGGGCAAAGAGGACAAGGAAGAGTTGGTGCTGCACTGGAAAGAATAAGGGCAACCCCTCAAAGTTCGGATGGAGGGGATGGTGAAAGGGGCCTAGAGGGAGAGAGGGAAGACGGAAGAAGGGGGAAGGAAGACGAGAGATCTCCTCCCTCCTCCTGACACCCTGATCTCTTTTCCTTTTCCTTCTCCTTCCTCCAGCAGATGCTGGAATCTCCCGCTGTGGGAGCCGGCGGTCAAGGAGAGGCTGCCCTTTGTAGTTCCCCTCAACATTCTGCAGAATGGGTAGAGGGGGGATCTGCAGCAATGAAAGGGCACCTGAGGCGAGTGGGTCATTAGACACCCAATATGTAGCCAGGTTTGGACGAGGGTGCGGAGGGAGGAGCTTCACCCTTCCTATCGAGCATTCAGAACTTTGGGTGGGGAGAGATTGAGACATTCCCATTTTTCTAGAAATAGGCTGGATAGCGTGGAGTTTGGGTTTATTTTATCTTCACCTTTGCCTGTCATTTTCTGTCTGAATCTTCTGGATTGGGTCCCGCTGGGAGAGGTCGTTCTCTTGAACTTCCTTGCCCAATATCTTCTAGCGGCCCTCCCCTCACCTGGGCTGGAGTGGGGGGTAGCGGTCCTGGCCAGCTTTTTTTCAACAACAGTATTTTAATATGTTTCAGTCTGGGTTTGTTGAATAATTAGAAATGGAAATATTTTTTTCCTCCCTCCCCCTCTGAAAAAAAAAAAAGGGAAATGTGAGCCCTCTCCTGATTGGTGGATGACGATTTTAGTCCGCACCAATGAGCTGGCCGCCTCGTCTGTATTTATTTAGTGCTCTGGGGGAGTTTTTCTCTTTACGCAGCGCCTCTAAGTCACGGCTGGAACCTCTGTTGGGGGACTAGGAGGGACCAGAGCGGGTTCTGGGGAATCCGAACTGTACCTGTTCAGAGATCCGCCACCTTGCAGCCGAGACTGACAGAACCCTGAGAGGGGAGTGGGGATGATAAGACAGAGAGGCAGACAGGCTCGGGGTGCCGGGGCTACGGGAGAGGGGTGGAGGCTGGGCGCCAGGATCCCTAGTTCCCCTCCGCGCTCCTCTTCTCGCCTTCCACACACCTCTCTAGCGGCTGTGCGGGTTGAGTCGGGGATCGCGGACGGTGTGGAAAATGGAAGGACGGGTCTGGGGGCGCGGGGAGGGGCTGGAGAAAGGCGGGCGGCATGCAGGGTAGGAAGCTGAGCCGCGCTGGAGCGCGCTGGTGAGACCCAGCCTGCTCGGCTCCGGGGTTCGGGGACATCCTGGGCTGAAGGCGGCGGCGGCGGCGGTAGACAAGAAGCCGGCGGACTCTGCCCTTCGCGAATCTTTTTGCGGTCTGGGCTTGCTGTACATAACTCAATAGCCGGAAGCCCTTACCCCAAAAAGCATTCGCGGAGGGCGCACTCGTCGAGAAGACGGCAGCCACCAGCGACAGCCGAAACCCGCGCCTACACGGAGAGGCTCGGTCCAAGCTTTTCCCAGCCCGTTCCCCGTTTTCCATGAAAGAGTCGGTCCTTTCCTTCCTGTCGTTCCCGCGCTCCCTGAGTCTTTGGTCACTCGCCTGTCCTCCGCTCGGGTCCCCCAGCCCCCACGTTTTAACCGACTTTGTATCACAGGGGGAATTGGAGCAGGAAAAGCGTGTGTTTTCGGAGAAGTGGGAAGAAGCTAAAAAGCAATAAAAGTTTACAGAAGTTGTGTATTCCCCCACCCCGCCCACACCCTGAATAACCCCATTCACCCTCTGCACAAAAAAAGAAGAAAAAAAAAGATCTGGTTTTAGGGCCGAGTCAGTACCTGGAGTATGAATCAGTTTAGGACATATTCTGGTCATTTTTTGCCCTAATAATCCAGCTGCAATATGGGGGTGGGGAAGCCCTTGAGGTAGGGGAGGGAGGCTCTCAGCACCCTCAGTTCTGGCGCGCGGGACTCAGAGGGGAGGCAAGCCACGGTGAATTGGGTAGCTCCGAAAAACAAGGAAAACACCTTGACACCGCTCGCTCCCCAGAGTCCTTTCTTCCCCCGCACGTGCTTCCAGCCTAATTTGGGGCATTTTGCAGCCTCGGGTACCCCCACCCATCTCGTCTTTTTCAAAACTAAGTAGCACGGAAGGGTGTAAAACTGGCGAAAACGGAGGAAGTCCCCACAGAGAAGGAGCTTTTGAGAGATGCAGGTGCACCCGGCTCAGCAGCTTAGTAACAACAGCGGCCCCGTCCTGGCCTCTTAGGGAGCCCGGTCTTGGGGAGAGAGGCAGAGCTGCAGAATTAGTGACAGCGTGGGGGTCCCCCTCCTCCACCTCCAGTCCTTGCAGTCGTGACCACTTTGGTGATAAGTGGCACAAATTAGGCCTTCACCATGCTCTGCGCCCCGTGCCCTTCGCCAGCTAGAAACGCTGCTAGACGCCCTTAGGGACTGGACCAGAGGTCACACAGACACACAACGGGCGCCCACAAGGATGGATACGGTTAGAGGATGAGTCTGGGGATAGGAGAGCCCAAGACTGGAGGGCTGAGAAGCTTCCCATTTGGGGGGAGGACCTGACTTTAGCCCGCACCCCAACCGCTGTGCTTCCAGCAAAGCAAATGCCCACCATCATTCCCCTCTCCGTTAGCTGAGCACCCAGACTCTAGCCTCTCTCGTAAAGGAAAAGGGCTGCGGAGTTCCAGAGTGCTGGACAAAGTCAACCTTTTATAGCTCAGCCTTCCAGAAGGCACCGAGGGCGAGGACGCCAAGTTCTAGGGCTAAATTAGAGTCCCACTCCCCAGATAAAGGAAAATTTCCTTCCCTGGTTGCATTTCCTGAAAGAGTAAAAAGGTCCCTGAGATCTGCAAAGGAGATGAAACAAAAAGCAAAAGCTCTGGGGGCTTTCCTCCCTGCCTCTCCTCTGAGGCCGTCTATGGCATGAGAGCTTCGCCAAGGGAGAGGCGTAAGAGCCACGTCAGATTAAAAATAGCTTCACCCTGTGTCCCTTCAGCTCCTCTTTTATCATTTGCTTCTTACATCCCCTTCCTCTCCCTAGCCCTCCTCTCTCCAAAAACCTGAACCTCCTCCGGATTTGGGTAAAGGTGACCTAAGAGAAGTGAACTTGCGCAGAAGAGGTTGAGCAACCAGAGCGCAGGTGGCTCGGAGTTACTGCGTCCCTAGTTCTCTCCCTTCTCCTACAGAGGCTAGGTTTGGGGCTGGGGCTGCAGAGCCCAGGAGCTCCCGGCCAAAGCCGGCGTCGTGCGCGCCAGAGCGAGTCCTCGCCTCGCCTCGCCTCGCCTCAAGCCAGACAACTGTTGCTGCCTAGAAGCTGCGGTTGCAGCCACAGCTGCTGGGGCGTTTGCACGCTCGGGGGCTGGGGCTCCTTTTTGACCGGGCCGGGAAGCTTGCGAAGAGCGGTATCTCTCTCATTCCGGGTGGGATCAGAGGAAAAGACCCCCTCCCCTTTCCTTTCACAACAAGTGAAAATCTGGGGCTTTTTCTGTGACTTTCCTTCCCTCCTCTGGGGCTGTTGCATCACCCTGAGGCTAGTGGCGGCTGATCTCCCCCTTTCTTCCCACTGTGCCTTTGCTGTGGAAGGAGGGCAAAGGTGAGGGGAGATGATCTCTTTGAACCCTCAAACTGCTAATACACACCTCTCTTAAAGAAAGCCACGTCATCTAGTAAGTAAGGGGCCTAATGGAAATTTCCAGGTATTTGCAACTGATCAACCTGTGGAGCCCCTGTAGGGAAGGGAGAGCAGTTAGTAACCCTTGCTCACCCAGGTCGGCTTCTCCCTGGGGAGTGGGAAGTGTCCAGGAAGCCGCTGGGGAAGCTTGGTCTCTGGAGCCCTGGAGACCAGTCAACTGATAGCTTTTGCCTGTGTCAGAAAATCAAGGTCAGGGGTTGTGTCTCGAGATAAGGAAGGGGTGAAGGCACCTGGGAGCCTCCTCCCCTCCACCTGCCCCCTAGTGGCTGGGCCCAGGTGTTCTGCATGCCGTCTCCTTCAGGCCCATTTTTGGCTGCCCTGCACCTACAGTGCCTGGCTCTGCCTCTCCTCCCCTACTGCCTAGAGCCAGGTCTCCTCCCTTCCTCCAGCCCCTTTGCCCCTTCTATCTTCTTTCCGCGACCTCTGTTGCTTTGAGGTCTCTGCCTTACCTGTCTAAGATTGGAGACAAAGGAAGGGACTGAGTCAAAGGTATTGAGCACATGAACTGCAATGTCAGACCAGGACCCTCTTCTCTGTCCCAGAGATTTCTCAAACTGGGGGCTTTGTGAGGATCACTGAAAAATTTTCCTCTTATACAAGCACCCCTGCCTTGTAGCTCTGGTTCCATACCCACCCCAGTGTCCTTTTCCTTTCCTTCAGCCTCCCCTCTCCTGCAAAATGTCTCAGCCCCCAATGTCTCCCATTCTCCTCTGGAGCCAGCAGGGTAAACTTCCCCATCTTTTGGCCTTTCAGGTGATCAAACCTGCCCTGCCACCAGGAGGTTGCATGAGGGGTGACTGCAAGGAGGGGGTCTCACAGGCCCCAGGAGCTGAAGAGTCTGGACAAAGGAGCTCTGGAGTCCCAGGTGAGTGTGCAGAAACCTCAGCCCATGGCTCCTTGGCCTGGGCAGGCCCCTGGGGCCTCCACAAACACAAACCTTACTTGGTAACTCAACACAGGGAAGCCTGGGATCCAGCAACTGGGGACTTTTCCCCATGGATTAGGTCATAAGGAAAGACACAGTACTCCACGAGGCAGGCCCCTTCCTGTTCTATCCTCTAGCAGTACTTTGACCTGGATGTTTGGAGGTTTCCCAGCCCCCAGGATTGAGGGAGAACAGGCCTTAGTGGGGCAACGGATTCCTTTCCACACTAACTTTTTCAGGGCTCTTCAGGCCCCTCAGGGGTTCAGGGAGATAGATTGTTGAAAGGTCATTTGCTGAGTTCAGATTCTCTAATGAAACCAAAATGTTGAGTTATGTCTCCTTAACTGGAGTTCAGCATAGGATAGATAGGAAAAGTATTAGATTATTGATTTTTTTTTTGAGGGGTGAGGCATTAAACTCTAAATACATTGACTTATCCTACTAACCAGCAAATCCTTTGTTGCAGAGCTTTTGTTTAGCTGCTTTTCTGAGCTTCAGAGTCATACTGTGCATTCTTATTGGGGAATACAAATCAGAGCTTGGCAGAAAATTCTGAAACCCGAGGGCTGTTAGATTTGTGAGGAAGGGAGAAACCAAACTACCTGGCTATTCCTTGGATGTTATGTGAGCAAAATGTAAGAAGCTGTGAGAAATCTTAGAGGGAAGCTTGAGGCTCATGGCAGAACAGAAGCATATTACATGGAAGACCATCAGATACAACAGACCTATTTGCTGTATTAATTCAATGACTGCTACATGGATATTTTGACATGTTTACATTTGAAGAGGGGTGGTCAGATAATAAATTTGCTGGAGTTCTTTATAATCCCACCATGTAAAGTGAGTTTAAGGTCTTCAAATCATTGGTTGAACCTAACTTCTTTTAAATTACCCTTTTGTATGTAAGGATCTGAAGTTTGCAGCATCTATCTTTGAATAATAGGGTTTTATTCATTCCAAGAGGTTACCATCTCCTTCTTCCTCCCTCTGATATTCCAATTGCATTATAGAGAAATCTAAGAAAATCATATGGGGAGGGGGGTGGATTTTCTTGCCTGAAGGATAATTTATTATAATCATGTTTGAAAAATCTGTCAATGAGTTATACCTCAAACTTAGATATATGTAACATGCCCAAACTGAAAAGAGATATAGAGGATCTAAAGAGCAATACCTTCATTTTGTAAATCAAGACACAATGATTCAGAGAGGTGACCTGATTTTACCAAGGTCACAGTTTGGGGCTTGAACCCAGGTTGTCTGTTGCCTACTCTGAGTTCTTTCTTTTTCACTAAATATTTCCTCACACTACCAGATAATACAGATAATTGCTAAACAAAATCCAGGGCACTGTAATTTGCCTTCAAGATGCCAGAGTTCAAAGAAGAGTTTATCAGAAGTCTCTTCTGCTAGCGATTAGCATTCTGGGGGCATCACTAGGTTAAGGCACAGCTCTCATCTCTCCCCTCTGACACGGACATCCCCTCCCCTAGACCTTGAAGCTTCCATGTTGGCCTCTGTCTTCTGAGGAAGTCATCAGCTCAAGGAATTTGCTGTGTCATAGAATCCGAGCATTGGTCTCTTTCAAAATCTCTCTAGCATGAAGTAGCTCCATGAGGCCTAGGCCCTTCTCCCTTATTTCTCTCCTGTGTTAGAAGTTAAGTCTCATCCTTCTTGATTGTGAGCTGTTAGGAGGGTAGTATGGCTGATTTGAATTCTCCCAGGATCTCCTTATCACTTTACAAAAGGATCTTTCAAACCAAGCAGGGGATCTATTTGATCCTTGTCCCTCAGATATCTTTTAGGGTGCTGCAGATCACCTGTTTGTAGGACAGATGCCTGGCCTCGTCAGTTTTAAGTTTAAGATTTCTGCCACCTCCTAGATCTAACTCCACTATTTCAGCTTAACATATTTACATTAATGACAGCCATTTTGAGGCTATCATGTCCTCAGCACATGAAAATTGTAGCCATGCTATGTGTGCTCTCACAAATAAATTGTTCTCACGGCCTTTCTCAGAAATTCTCCCCACTATGGTGCTCCCCTGCCTCCTCTTCAGGACACACACTTGCTGGCAACTTCAGTTAGGAAGTCAGATACATTTCCCTACTTAAAAAGAAACAGATTGAGAGGAGGAAAAATGAAATGGAGTGAAAGATACAATTAGGTTGAAAAGCAAAACAATAAGACTGACTAGCAGTGGAAAGAGTTAAAAGAGCAAATTCTATCAGGTCCTGACTATTTAGGTTCATGACCTTGAAGAAGCAATCATATCCTTTCTAGGCCTCAATTTCTCCATCTATAAAATTAGGTGCTTCATTCATTCCTTTATACCACAAAAGTTGAATGCTTATTCAACAAATGTTTATTGAGTCCCTACTATGTATCAGGCCTTATTCCAGGTATTGGGATACAAATAAGTTATTCTCCCTTTTGATAATGAAACTATGGATCTTCTTCCCAGAAAAACAAAACAAGAAAAGAAAAAGGGGACAAAAACAGATATTTTACATACAATTTCAGGGAGCTCTTGACCTCTCTAGGTTCCATGCATCTCAAATAAAAATTTTTCATCTAGTTTGTCTCTAAGGCCAAATTTAACAATAGTAAGATTTGAAGCTTAGGTTGCTTTGTCAAAGTTTGATTTTTAGCTGCTCCTTTTTTTTTTCCCTAGTAGCACTCTGTTGCATTTTTACCATGATTCTTGGCCCCTGTTTTTTGGAGAACATATATTTGTTAATTAGTTAATACTGCAAATGGCTAGGATAAATGTTGAACAGAAAGTAAGTGCCTGAAAGGCAAAGAAGGCTTAGAAGCTGAGGTACAGAAACAAATGAGAAGTGTTAATGACCATACCCAGCCTGCTCCCACAGAATTTGAAAGAAGCAATCCATTTTTAAGGTTAAGTATTCTTGGCAAAGTCTGGTGATTTGACGAAGGAAAGAGAGGTTTATGTTGGAGCCAGACAGGGTCAGATCTCAGTGTCAGGGCCCATAGCAAAGATGGATTTCATCTGGTGCTTTTGACCACCAGGGAAAATGACAGCTAGACAGAACAGGGATCCCTTGGGAAGGAAAGATAGTCCGCTTGTTGGATTATTAGTTTGGCAGACTGGCCCAGTTGGGCTGGCCCTGTTAGGTTGGTAGACTGTTTTAGTGTAGCACAGCAAGGGGCTTTATGGCAGGCAATTCTACTGAAGTCTTTAGTGAAGGACAAATTGAGATTCTTTAAGGCCCAAAATGGACATGGAGGGTTCCTTGTGCAAAGGTTTCTCATCCTAATTCTCAGCCTTTCAAAGCATCTTTCTTCCCTGCCCTCAGGGTCCTTGGAACTCCGCCTTGCAATGGGGAAGGCCTGAGCTCTTTCACCAAGGGCAGGGGGCACTTACTCACTATAGTACAGATCTGATGCAAACTTTACTTTCAAGGAGAGCTAGATGCTCTTATTCAACACACCCAACATATTCAGCACAGCCAGTGAAGTCACTGTTGGGGGATGACCTGGAAAGTAAAAGGTCTAGATTAGGATCTGAATTTATACAGACTTTGTGGTAGATTGTGGGATGATAGGGCCAAGTGTGTAAATTTTTCACTTAAACAAAAAAGAAGCAGGTTGCTGTAGATGAGGCTAACATATAGAAAAGTCCTTTCCATTTTCTCAATTTCCTTATTTGTAAAATGGGGATGATAATGGCAACCATAGGTTCTGGTGTGGATTAAAGGAGACTATTCATGGGAAGTGCTTGTACCTACTCAGTGTTCAATAAATGTGAGTTGTTACAGTTTTTTTTTCTCCTGCCTAACACATACAGCAATGGCACACAAAGCTTAGATCATAGAATCAATCAGCTGTCATAGCACCAGAACTATTCCCTGAGTGGCAGATAAAAGATAATCTATTCTAGAAGCGTTTGTCCATTTGCTCCATAGCCTGCCAGTGCCCAGGATTACCTGACTGGGAGTAAATCAAAAGGGCTGTTAGGAAAATATTGTTCTCTACTTTATGCATCCCTACACAAAGATTATCTCTTTGTAGTTTCATTTCTCTTTTAATTTCTTGCTTTCAAGTGCTTTTTTAAATCTATTGCATTTAATCACAATTGCTTTTGCAAATCACTCTCTTGATACCTTTAAAAAAAAAACCTTTTTGATCTGGGAGAAAAAGTGATTCTTTTTCTCTAGGATACTTGCTGTTCCTCTTTTACTTTCAGTTTATATCCCATCCTAAGTGTGCAGAGTGCAGGTGATATTCCCACCAAAGAAAGAGTAAAGGAAAAATAGAAGGGCAAGAAAAGGTAACACTGTTTGCTGTCATCAATGATGTTTTCTCTTTCCTTTTCACACGCATTTTATCTTCATTCTTTCTTCCAGCTTCACTTTCACTGTCTCTCATCTCCTCTTAACATCCTAGCAAAGTAGTCTTTGCTCTCCTCCTTTTGACTCACTTAACTTGTCCTTTCGGGAATTTTTTAAGACTTGGCTGCAATTTGTTGGGGTGGTTAGGCAGAACCTGATGTGGTCTCTACATTTCTTGGAAACATTAGAGAAACAGGGCCAGGGCCACCATTTGTACCCCCTGCAACCTGTTGAGCACATCTGCGGCCATTTGAAAGAGAAAGGAAAGGTTTTCTTGTTTTTGTTTATTTTTTATGTATTTTATTTAACTTGCACAGAAACTAGAGCATTCTCCACAGACCTTTCTACATTTTAACCTGGAGCCTGCCTACTCATTGCTTTTTCACAGTGAGTTTTCTTCCCTTTCTTAAAAAAAAATAAAAATAAAAAGCTCAGGAACATGTCAGCACAGTCTATCTGCACAGTGGTCCTCGCTATCTCTTTGAAGCTTTTCAAGAGGAGGGTAAAGGCAGCAAGGTTTGAGGAAGCAGTGACCTGTTTGAGAGCCATGGGCTTTGACACTAATGAACCCTGGGTTT